TTACTTAGAATGCATCAAATTTTAAAAACTTAGAAGCCAAGCAGATGCAGGTGGATCTCTGTGAGTTCCAGGCCAGTCTAGTCTACATCATAAGTTCTAGGCCAATCAGGACTGCACAGTGACAGCCTGAACCAGGACAGCAATAAACACACCAACCTTACAACCAAAACAGTCTATTGAAACAAGTGAGGCTTTACTTTCTTAGATTATTTTTTAATCTCTTCAATTATAAAAATCTTTTAAAATACTAGTTGAACAATGTTTCAGATATACCTTTATTTCCGGTGAAAATGCTCTGAGATATGCAGTTGTTGTTAGCCTTTTGTGAGTAGAGACAAGTACCTCCATGACTGGAGGATGTGCTAATGGCCTAAGAAAATTTAGACACTTCTCTAGGTCTAGCGTGTGCCCCGAAGGCAGGCTGTGTGATTAGCGTGCCTAGGGTTCTAGGACCACTCCCTCTCAAATCTAAACTACTTGTTTTAATCTCTACCAACATTTAGCTACTGATTCAAATTCAATGAAATAATACTTTCTTCATCGAGCCATTAATAGTGACCCAACCCAGACTGTAAAGATCTAGAGAGTTTTTTAATCACTATTTTTAAATTAACACATGTACCAATGGGCATTAAGTGTCTTTATTGTTATAAAATGTGCAAGGATTTTCAGAATGAAAACAGGAGATTGTCCTGCAAGACAATTAACAATAGCTCCAGAGTGTCAGCTCCTAAGGTAAACTTTTCCTAAACCATCCGTTGCTGGCACAATACCCAGTTCAGTATCTCACCTCTCCCACCTCTATACCAGAGTGTGCCTCAGAACCAGTGTTCCTTTACATTTAGACTATATGCAGTATGACCTAAATATATTGAATTTAATCTAATTCATAGTGTACACTTTAAATGCATGTATGACCAGTGCAAAAGCAAGATTATTAATGCATCTTTTCTTAAAAGAACCAACTTATAGTCTGTGTTTTATTATGTCATCTGTACATTATTTCCCCCTTGGGGGAGAATTTTAAAGCACAGATATTTTTTAAAACAATTAGGTTATAAGCATCCCCTATAGATCTAAAACACAAAAGAAATGACACAAAAGAATTAGTATTTCTTTTGTGTATATATATTTTGAGTTTTACCAGGACCCAGCAAAGCTATGCAGTTCTTACAGCATGACTATAGAGAGAAGAGTGGGATGGACCCAGCAGAGCTGTGCAGTTCTTACAGCATGACTAGAGAGAGGAGAGTGGGATGGAGCTTCGGATTTATTATATCTGTAAGTAGACTTTTAAGTAAGCTTTTCTAACTGAAAACATTCCCTGCACTTTGAAAACTGAGAAGATATGGAACAACACAGCTTATCATACTAGCTACAGTGTAGGTGCATTTCCTTCTAGAACCATCCTGAACATTCTCTCATTTACTCTCAGCCCTTCTCCCTCATCAGTTGTGGATGTCCTAGGAGAGGACAGAGTCACTCTCACAGCAGAGTTCATGGTTTGCAGTCTTACTCTCACACATTTACTCATGCTCTTGAAGTCGTACGTGACTCTGGCACCTAGAAGGATGTGTGCTATGTATGTGTGTGCTGTGCTGGGAATTTATATCAGGCGCACATGCATGCTGGGTAAGCTCTTTCCTGTTGAGCTGTACTATTAGTACACAGGATCTTTTCTCAGCTCTGTTTTGTTTTGTTTTGTTTTGTTTTTTAAGACAGGGTTTCTCTGTGTAGTCCTGGCTGTCCTGGAACTCACTCTGTAGACCAGGCTGGCCTCGAACTCAGAAATCTGCCTGCCTCTGCCTCCCAAGTTCTGGGATTAAAGACATGCACCACCACCGCCCGGCCAGCTCTGTTTTCTTAATAGCTTGAGACTAATTGTAGTCGCAGCATTAGCATCACTAAAACTATAAAGAACTGCATATATCAGTCTTATTTTTTATTTTATTGGATATGATAGAGAAATGCATATTAACCTATAAAATATGTCGTGTCTATAACCTTTACATTGCAAATAGTATCTCAAATTAAGGAAATTCCTGTAGTATTTGAAAATACTACTTAATTCTATAAAAAGTATTTCCATCATTGACCAACAAGTGACATTTCTAAGTATATTTGCATCTTAATGTTACATGTATCCTTAACATAATGAGAGCATCCAACTGTTCATACAAGAGCCTTATTTTCCCATCATCCCAACCTTTACATACAAGAACTTGGCAAAAATCTAACAAAACATTATTTGAGATTGTACAGAACTTAGTAAAGGATAATGCTTATTATTATTATCCATAAATTGTGTGCTTCACAATCTTTGTATACCGGTAACCTTGTGGGTGTGACGAAGATACATCTCTTCCTCCTCCTCTTTGGAATGATGCCCACTTTTACCAGCTGGCCACAGGTGACAAACTGCTGGCCCCAGGCCAGATGGCCCACTACAATTTATCCTAAGAATCACATAAACCATATGTACAAAGCTCTTGAACCAGTACCAGCTACCAGATGGAAGGTACTTATATACCAGATGGAAGGTACTTATATAC